TAGCAATCATGTGATCAGGCACCATGTTCCGATATTCGGCTGCTTAGGTAGCATGGATGTTGATATTTTTCTTGCTAAAACACCATGGCTTTGGGCTCACTGTCTGTGGCCCCTCCCACTGATCAAAATCAGTCAATCAGCATTGAATCAGGCGGCTGTCAAACCAGTATCTCTGCACGTCTGGCTTGACGAATGGGCGGAGTAGGCCAGATGTCAGGGTCAGAGTCAAAGGCCAACAGATAAGTGCCAATGAATTGCATGTGGGGACCACCAGGGAGCAAGGATTCTGGTAGCATGAATTTATGTTTACATCCTGCAAACCCTACTGGATCAATTTTGGAATGTTGATTAAATGAACAGCTGAATTATTAAAACAGTTGTATTTTTGATACAGTCAAACAAACTAGTGCATTTCATCTTGAGTAGTCTATCACTCTCATAACAGTTAATAGAAAAAACCAACACAACAATGCTGCATGTTCCTTACAGATCAACAACTGCTCCAGTGTCCCTGCTACCCTTCTTAAGACTATGGGCCACATCCAGCCAGAGCTCCACCTGGATATCCTAACCATGAGCCATATTTGATTCATATTTTCAGAGACTGAGTTAATGGGGACAAAAAGCAAGATCCATGATGCAAACTGACAAAAGTATGGCATCAAATATTTATCTTCTTTAATACACCCACTGGCATGTGTAAAATTGAAATACTATGATTAACATAACTGTTTGCCTGGACTGCAATGACCACTAAAGATCAGTGGTGCTTTACCATCTCATTTATATAAACAAAGTCTGAGCAGATACAGTTACCAGCCAATACACTGAACAAATGAGTGAAGAGGAATTTCCTGGGCATTAAAATTGAAATATTGTAAGTGAAGATGATGTCTTAATGGAAATAACTGAAACATATCTTATACAGCTTTTTACTGTCATCTAATGAATTCTATAATTAAAAAAAACATTTGCATCAGTTCACATTTAGTGCAGCAGGTACTTGGAATAGTGATTCTCACTATTGTGTCAACCTTAACCAAATTATTAAGCAGCATTCCAGAGATGAATACATCAGAGTGATTTGTTACCTAAGCCAAGACACCAATGCCTGGGACAGGAAGCTATTTTTGACTGCAGTTTTGAGCAGTCTCTAGAATTGATAACAGATCACTCACCATTCAAATTTATGATCTTGCCTCCTGAACATGAGGTTGCATTAAGTGGTTGCATTTCACGTACTGGCAAACTGTCCTCAGCAAAGAATCCAGACAATGTCTGCAGACATGCTCTCGCCAGTACAACTGAGAATGTGTAAATTGGAGATGAGCAAACAGATATTACTTGGTGCTGGGGAACTGTATGGCCAGCCAACCCAACTACGATTTGCTGTCGACCCTACGCAAATCACAGCAAAGTGGCACATATTGTAATCTACTGAGCAAATTTACCATGCAAGAACAATACGAATGACATCGCTTCAGATGATGACTACTTGACAAGACAGGCACACCTTTTGTGAGGATGCGCAGTTCTGTACTTAAATGAACCATTAGTGTGACAATAGCACATCATGCTGTATGACTCTGAGCAAAATGTTCAGAACTTTAAGTAAGCTATGGTAGTGTATGGAGTGGTGAAATAGTTAGCAAAGGTTATTGCAGAGTTTTATCATACTATCCACCTTTTCTTATTCGTCCCACTCGGCATCGTTATTGCAACAATAGCGCCATAGACGTCAGCTATCCCTTCTTACCCGCCTGTGCTGCCTGAGGAGATTGTTGGTACTACTTGGAACATGGGCAATTATTTGACTACCACGTAATATCGCAGCTACCGAAAGACCTCTGGCAGCAGTGCTGGAAAACACATTTTTCAGGCAAATCGCGGTCCTCGACCCACGGATGATCGCCGCCATGATGCTTTCAAGGACCACAACAGTGCCGTTTTGCTGAATATATCATAGGATTTGGAATATTTGTGAACGGTCCTAAATACACAATGTCACAAAAGTTTGCACAAAGAATCGTGTATATATATATTTTTAGATTGCATTTATAACTGCATAAGGCATAAAAAGGCTGGGGAACCACCTTTTAATTGTTTTTCACCTGCTAGCCCGATGGGCGTTTCTTCTCAGCATCTACCGAGAAAACAAACAAGTATCACTTACATTTACTCCACGGGATGGCGTTAGGGTATGACACAAGCGTTCACGTGGGCGCATGGTCCGCCGGCTCTCTGGGCACTGAACTGGCTGCAGCGCTATGGGTAAGGCCTTGTAAGCTATCAAATGCTAAGAAGCACGCGGCCAGAGTCTTGGTGAAGGTCATAGAGCTTGATAAAAGACCTCGGTTGACTGGCCCAGTAAAGAGCACCGGAGTTGGTCTACTTTTTCGAGGGCCACATTTTTCTTCGGTTTCTTCTTTCCATTTACGGCGATGGGGGGGGGGGGGGTTCATTCAGTGTCCCGTGAATGGAACTCTGAGGAGATCCACTGCCTTTCATGCACCATAGTGTTAAGCGCGGGCAGAACACTAAGAGGTCCATTATGAGGAGTGTATAGTTTCCTATTCAGCTGAGGCTGTGGCCTTAAGCCCCCCCCCCCCCCCCACACACACACACTTGGGTTTCAGCCCTTTTTAACTTTGGGAAGAGAATGGCCAAAACATGGGAGAATCCTATTTGGCAGCATATCTTAGGGCAGGCGGGGTAGCTTTTTACAGTTAAGCCCCCAACTCATTGCAAGGAACTACGCTCCCACCATTACCTTTTCCGGCCAGGGGTTGAAGGGCTTTTCGCCTCAGCCTGGAGTACCTTAGCCACAAGGAAGCCCGCGGCCATCGGTCGATCCGGGAGCTCTCTGAGGGATGGGTCGCGTCGCAGATGGATGTCGCGGTCTGCTCCCTGATACTAGAGGCACTCTCACTGGAGCATTTGATCGTGTATCTACGTTCGGGGCATTCTTTGACGTAACGATCCATCACTACCACAAGGGGTCCAAAAACGGGCACATTGGTCCCAGTTTGGCCTATTGGGCTCTGGTTGGGACGCAGCGAAGTGCCATGTCCTCTCGTCACTGGGTCTGTCGTCTGGCGTAGGACCCTTTCATTATTATTCATCAAATCTCCTTGCACTGTCAGAGGGCCCCGACCAGTGCAAAGGTGCTTTTGGTATTCAAGGTCCTGCCCTTTTTAAGAAAATGGCCCTTGGCAAACTTGGACCCGCTACCAACACAAGATCCTCTGTCAGGCACTGTGGGCTCCTTACCAAAACAATACCCTCCCCCTCATTATCCCAGGGGCCTAGAACAGTGCAAGGGACCTTCTGGCTGGTAATCGCGGGACCCACTTGTTCCCTGCCCGAGAAATGGGGCCCCAGGCCGGCACAGCGCCAAGCGTTCGGCATTGGTGGAGTATAACCGGCACAGGGGCCATGCTCCTGTCAGGGACCCCCGATCGGCGCAAGAGACCCTCTAATTAACACATAAGGGCCCCACCCGCAGGGCCGGGGTCCCTTAATGCAGCCTCCGACCAGTCCATCGCGACATTTGGTTCCTTGAATCCAGGGCCCCTTCTGGCCCCTCGGAACGTGAGGAGCGGCGTGTGCCCCTGCCTGCATCCCGATTGTGCGTCCCATTCTGGTATCATGGGTCCGCTTCAACCTTGAGAGAAGGCTTCAACCTTGACAGCTCAATAGCGGCCTCGTTTTCCCTAGTTTACCCTGATGCGCCATGTGCTAAGTGTGGACCAACGATGTTGCGTCGGTACATGCGCCTAGATCCAAAGGGCTGATCCTGGGCCCCAGACCGATGAAACATTCATAACGAAATCCGAAAACCGGATCCTGCGATCTGGTTTTGTTTGGGGGAAGATCATCAGACCTGTCCGCTGATAAAATTCTGGCCTTTCCGGTGGTGTCCCACCGCGACACGCTTGCCCAGCTGTTGGACGCACCCCTGGCTCACGTCGGCTGCAGCCAGCGCCCCAGAGCGGGTCATCCACGGCACCCGTTTATTGACAGGACACGATCAGCATGTTTCACACCACTGCACCGGCCTTCCCCGTAACATCTGTAACGCGCGACGACGCACGACCGTCCCCGGTAACATCAGACAGGAAAGGTCAAGGGAATGTTTCACAACGGCACTCGTCTGACAATGTTCCGCGCTTGGTTCGGTAACTGACTGCCCTTTGTGACGTCACTGACAAAAATTGTGACAGCCGCCAAGCACCGACAGCGTCGTGGTGAGTGCAGTAGCGTCGTGTGTACTGAGGCAGCGCTGGTTAGTCCAGCTTTTCTGGGTCTCACGACGGGCAAGAGACAACCCGAGGAATACGCCACCACTGGGATTGTTCGTCGCAGCGTGATCTGACAACGCATAGCTTGCAGGCAGGTAAAACGCAAAGCAAAACCGGTTCCTCTTAATGCTTGAGGTGAAAGTCGTACATAAATGTCTTGACACAATTTTTTCTCTCAATTTCTAAACCAAGCAAGAGCAAAAGCATAGGGTGAAAGACCCCGAACGCTCACTGCACAGCTTCCAAGCCCCTCCCAGCACTGCGAGGAAGGTGAAGGAGTCCGCATGGAGTTCCGGCTCGGTCGCCCGATCAGCTCCGGTCAACGACCCTCATCCAGCGGATCGCTGGTCAGCAGGTCACGACCAGCAGGTCAGCAGGTCACCACCACGTGTGAGGTCTCTCAGAACGCCCCGCCCTTGCGGGCGGCGAAGGGAAGGGACGGCACTCGCCGTCGCTCCAGCCGGTAGCCGAGGCCGAGGCGGAGGCACCGGCGCCGCGGCCGAGGCGCGCACAGCACGCGTGGTCTGAGCGGCCGGTGCCGCGTCACGTGGTCACGTCCGGTCGGTGGACAGCGGAGCACGTGACCGGCGGGTCAGGTCGGGCCGAACCGGACGCGGTGGCTTGCAATGTCTGTCACCGCCGCCGCCGCCGCCGCCGCCGCCGCCGCCGCCGCCGCCGCCGCCGCCGCCGCTGTCGCCGCCGCCGGGTGCGCTCCGCCGTTGGGGAGGCCCACGGTCGTCAGGTCGCGGCACTGCCCGGTGTCCGCCGCTCTTCACGAGGCCGTGGAAGGCTGACTGAGCCTCTGTCTGAAGACCACCGCTCCTCAGGAGCTCAGTGCGGGTCTCTGAACATACCGGCCCGCTCACAGCACCGTCTCGAGCTCCGCCACCTCCCGGGCCTCTGACCTCGGCCTGCAGACGGACGGCGACGTCACGACAGGGCGACGAAACAACGACAACATGACGACGAGGTGACGACGATGCGACGACAGCACGATGGCAGGATAACGACAACGTGACGACAGCAGGACGATGAAATAATGACAGCATAGCGGCGTGGTGTTGACATAACGACGATAAGATGACGACAATACGATACAAGACGACGTAGTGACGAGAGGATGACGACAGGATGACGAGAGTATGAAGACCACCGACGGCCGGCGTTAACCGACGCATATGTTAGAGCAGAAAAGTGCGGGACTAGGAGGCTGAGATTCTGGTTGGGTTGGAGGAGAGTGCGCTTGGCCTGGGACCCGTTACGGCACGCTACTAGACCTTGCTCGTGCAGAGTTGCAGCAAATGCACGTTGCGAGATTACGATGATAAAGGCATGTTGCAAGATGGTCAGGGTCAAGATCGCAGCATTCGAAACGACGAAAGAGACCGGACACGGATCACGCTACGCTAGAAACTAGATCACGCTAGAAACCGGACACGGATCACAGCATCAGCCCGGCAGAATAAATGCCGACATAATCTTGCAGTTTCTAGCTCGAACAGGGCCAGTCTTTATCTCGCTAAGATTATTTCACGGGTCAGCTGACCCGGGGTAACGCTATGCTTGTCATATAATGTTTAGCTTAAGCGGATAAATGCGCGCGCATGGCAACTTGGCTTCTAAAAAGCAGCGCAGGCAGACCCGAAGACCAGCAAGGTCCTCTACAAGACCGCGCGGCAGACCACACCCGCAGACCGGTGGTGAGCTAGTACCTCGAGTACAAGTAGGGCGCCCTTCCGCTGGGGTACAGGGGGGTACCCTGCCGCACTTGGCCGCCGTCCATGATGTCGTTAGGCCGAGCCCGGCCGGGCTCGGCGCCAGCGATGCTCAGGCCGTGGGAGCTGCACTGGTGCTCCAGCTCGGCCAGTCGCGCCTGGGCCAGCCGCAGTTCGTGTTTCACCCGCCAGAGGTGCGTGTCGCACGCCGGGTCCCGGCACCGGCGCAGCTGCTGCGGGGGGAAGGGTCGCGGTCAGGGTCAGGTCCGGGTCAGAAGCGGGGTCCGGGTCGGGGTGAAGGTCAGGTGTGGGGTCGGGGTCAGGGTCAGGGTCATGGTTAGGGACCGGGCCGGGGTGAGGATCAGGTGTGGGGTCGGGGTCAGGATCAGGGTCGGGGTCGGGGTCAGGGTCGGGGTCAGAGTCAAAAGCGGGACCAGAGTTAATAAGGCCAGGGTCGGGACCAAGGCCAGGGTCAAAGGCGGGGAAGGGGTCGGGGCCAGGGTCAGGGTCGGATCAGGGTCAGGATCTGGGTCAGGGGCAGGGGCAGGGTCTGGGTCAGTGCCAGGGTCGGGGTCAGAATCGAGGTCATGGTCAGCGCGGCGTCTGGAAGCCTGGGTTCGATTCCGGGCGTAACCAGTGATTGACAGTGTGGGGCAAACTCAAGTTGTCAGACGCTTTTCTTGACGGAATACCATTTTGCCAGTGTTGAGTAATGGGCCGAAGTTGATTACGCCGAGGTGAAACCGAGCTCAAGCTTAAATGGCACGTCATAGGTCATTCTCGTTATATCACCTTCGGTTGACCGCACTCCGTTGAGACCAAAGTCGGCTCATCCTAATCAGATGGTCTTGGCCGGGCAGATATTTGCCTCCTCGGCCTCCATGAGTAATAAGGTTATATAAGGTTATCAAATCCTAGTTCTTTGACCTTGTTAGCAAGTTATAATAAGCGCAATTAGAACACCAATGAGAAACGTTCAGAAGTGGGCATGTCACATTGTAGGCCATTCGAAGTATAATTTCGGTCCCTTCTAGCTGAAGCTCCTTTCGATTCACCGCCTGCGTAAGAGAGTTTGTCCAGCAATACTGCAGGTCGGGTATCACCTGCTGCTGGGAACCAATATGAGTTACAGAGCAACTCGTTCCTTAACCCGAAGCACGACGGTAAGGACAGGACTGACGACACTCATGCGAAGACAGTGAAAAACAATTTAAATTTTGTTATTCTGTACATAAAAGCTTGGATTTTTTTCAAACTGTGTGAAATATTTTCAGTGTCGTAATTTTTTACTTAACTTGTATTATATTATTTTTATTGTTATATAATCATATTATATCCATTATATTATTTTTGTTATGACATTAATAATAATTATAATTATATCAATGATAATTATAATGCTGATAATAAAATTTACCTGAGGCTATTATTATATTACATTTACTACTTCATATTAGTATATTCTATTACACATTATTATTGTTTGAATATAATGCAAGTGACAACAAGCACGGGCGGTGACCACTTCCCCTCCTGAGCCCCTTCCATCCTGACCGCGCCGGCGGCAAACCTTCATGGTGTTCTGCGCCTCCAGGACGACGCCGCGGAAGTTGAGGGAGCGACCCATGCTGAGCGAGACGAGGGAGCAGCAGCCGCCCACCTTGTCGACGCGGGCTAACCGCGGCCGGATGTACCTGGGGTACGGGTCAAGGTCATGCGCGGCAAAAAGCACAGCCAGGGCCGCACCAAGAGAGGCGCTGATGCTCAGGCGAACTCACCACAGAACTGCAGACGGAGATAGACATGGTGGTGGAATCTAACGCACATCTTTTTTACAAAGTCGGCAAAGGTTAAGACCACATTGGACCCAACACAGCCACAAATACCACTTTCAGGGACCAGTTCCAACAGCAGACGCCAAAAGTGGAGCACTCCTCAAACGGACGACCGGGCGGATGAACGACCCCTCATCTGTAGCTCACAGCCATAACAGACATTGTAGCTTATGCAACGAAACGACGTCCAGTTTTAGACTTGGAGCCCCTTCAGAGCCCGTTTGTTCGTAACCTGATCGAGAGCACGCGCCAGTCGCTGGATGACAGTGAGATCGGTCTCCGTCGGCAGCAGTGAGATCGGTCTCCGTCGGCAGCTCGTGACTATGGATGCCTAGCTCTCGGTTGCCGTCGGTCGACGCTTGGTGACAGCTCTGCCTGGTCATCCGGTACGCGGGAGTGACATTCTCCTCCGGGGAGCAGACGTTATTTAACGATAGCAATGGCGCCTCAGCACTTTCGCACTCACCTTCACATTCCGTTGCATTCTCGGTACGGATTTTCTGACCCCTCCCCGACCCTAATTGGGTCCTACTGATGTCTATCTTGAGCTGATTGGCTGCGCCTGCTTGGGACGCGTATGACGTGCATGGAGCGACCCCCCACCGGCACTAGTATGCCAGGGCAGCGCCACTTGGGGATTTGACGGTGACGACACGCGCGAGGCGGTTCTGGGTGGCCGGGGGGCGGCCGGCGCACGAGGCTGGTGAGCTCAGGCGACAAAGATTGTCTTCGGGGGGGATGTGTCGGTTCCGTTGGTTTTGAGTTCACAGGGGCCCGGAGAAGGGACGGCCGCCCCGATCTTATGCAAACATTCCGTGATAAGTTTCTTTATCGAGAGCCGGACCCCACGGTACCGAAATCCGCCCGATTTTCCAATTACCTTCACGACACTAAAGCCAGGAATTGCACGTCTTTTACATTAAAATTTTATTAAATTAACTTACATTACAGCACATTTTTACCAGGAAGCACTCAAGCCTCTCCGCCCAAGCCGCCACGTGCTCCCACAGATGCGCACGATCCCAGCATGCCCCCAGCCTTTCACCTGAAGTAGAGGAACTCGCAGCCGAGCAGAACGCCCGACAGCAGAATGCCGCAGCCGAGCAGCAGGAAGGTGGACAGGAACTGGTCCAGCGTCAGCGGGTTGCTGCTGCTCTTCTTCTGCTGGTTCGGCCGGCAGGCGCCCGTGAACCTGACGACGTGGTTCATGGTTCACAAAACATGGGGGAGGGGGGGACCGGAGTAGGAGTTTTGGCTTGCGACGGAGCTGTGACTGGGAACCGGGACGGGCTGGAGGACGGGGCTGTGACTGGGGACCGGAACAGGCTGGGGGACGGAGCTCTGGCTAAGGATCGGGACAGGCTGGGGATGGAGCTGTGACTGGGAACCGGGACGGGCTGGAGGACGGGGCTGTGACTGGGGACCGGGACGGGCTGGGGGACGGAGCTCTGGCTAAGGATCGGGACAGGCTGGGGATGGAGCTGTGACTGGGAACCGGGACGGGATGGAGGACGGAGCTGTGACTGGGAACCGGGACAGGCTGGAGGACGGAGCTGTGACTGGGGACCGGGACAGGCTGAGGGACAGAGCTATGGCTAGGGATCGGGACAGGCTGGGGATGGAGCTGTGACTGGGGATCGGGTCAGGCTGGAGGACAGAGCTGTGGCTAGGTGAGATGGGTGCAAGGCTGACGCCAGGGAAGAGATGAGAACTGAGCTGGGGAGCGCGCTCCATTCCCAGGCGATAGTAAATAGTTGGCTAGATTGTGCGGGAAACATATTTACTTCAGCATGATCCCCGAGGGCTCCAGGGGTGAGAAACACATGAGACACATCTGCGGTAGTCAATCCCCAGCTACACATGTCAGGACTGGACTGATTTGTGACGCGCGTGACAATGGTGATGAAAGGGAGGGTTCCTGTCAAGCACTGTATAACAGCGTTCGTGGCTAATTTGCGACACTTATGGTACCTTGCACGCTGTTTTCCCTCAGCACTGTAGTACCCATAGCCGGAGGCGCAACAAAAGAGGTCTTGGGACCCTTGGACCCCCTTCCTAAGACGCCCGAACAGACGATTTGGGTGCATTACATGCTTTTTAATTTCTTGATCGGGATAAAAAGATATATCAATTTCGATACCTGCATAAAAGCTCTGATTCCGCGACTGCCAATAGCTGAACGATCGCGCACCAAGAAAAACCGTAACCGTACAAAGGGACCGGTATGTTGCCAATATTTACTCCGTGATCTAGCAAAGGATCGCCATCGCCAATTTCAGCGTCATATCATCGACCCTGTTCAGACATTCGCTGGTAGAACGGTGCTTCGGCAGTGCGTCACCGATTAAACCAGGAAAATTAAATTCTGGTGCAACATATAAGGCCGAAAACCGCAAGCGAATGGGAGAAGATTAGGCCTCAGCGGACATAACTTTGATGTTCTACGTTTGGTAACCGATAACACGCAAAAAAGTGAAGGATTTACGTAGAATTACCATATCAACTACGTGCACACCTGACACGAGCAAACCACACCGCCATTTCTGGCCGCCGCTCCACTCACCAGAACCGATGAAGCCGTTCCAGATCCCCATTTTGTCTGTAGTTCATGATTCGCTCGTTGAACACGTCAATATATTTGCTGTTGCGTGGAAAGCCAACGCCGTACCCTGAGGAGGCAGCGAGCGTTGTCAGGCTAGCGTCGAATATTTCTGGGGGGGTGTTTGGACTGCGCCGCACATTTTGTCACCAAGCTGGGCTGGGATGCGCGACCAGGCCGACGCTGCATCAATTCGCTGTCACCGAACACTTGTTGCGGCTTGGGATGCACGTGCAATATTGGTAGCATGGAGATGGACACATGGAGTGATGCATGAACACTTCGTATGACTGAACATGACGCCGTGAGCGTACTGGACCTCACATCATTGTTATCACGTCCACACGCGCACGTGATTTGTACTATGGGCGTTGTTTCTAGACTGAGCCGCGGAAGGCAAGCGCAAATCAGCGATTGGAAGAAGAAACAGCAGCACCAACCACCCATCACTTGCACTTGCATCATTCACCTTTGAACTCGACTCGGTGAATTCCGCTCCAGACGTGCGCAGGACAAATAGGCTCATCACGATATTTATGTATATCAGTATTGCTTACTCGCCAAAAACGCGCTCAGTTGACGTGACATTCGCGTTATGCAGCATGGAGGGAATGGAAGAATCTCGGGACCGAATGAGGCGTCCGCTGCACATGACACCGGCCACGAACCCGCCGCAGGCTATATGCCGAAGTTGTACAGCTTCCTGACTCTGTGTCGTTCATTTGGGAAAGCCAAAACAGCACTTCGGCCAAGGACTGCCCCCGACAGAGCTTGTCGGCCCCTGGCTTATCGGTCTAGCGGTGTCGTATGCCGCTCTCAGGTTGTTGGCCCGAAGCTGCGAGTCCAGCAGCGACTAGAAATTCGGTCCCCTACCGCACGGTTTCACTCTCCAAATTGTTGCTGTTACCGATAGGTGGTGTATGGTGTCCATGCAAGTCATAGATCTTGGCCTTCTCCCTGTACGGTCCAGCGTGTTCTAACTGGTATTGAATTAACTCTCGAATCACTTTATTTTTCGATTTTATTGAAAGGCACAGTGCCTAACGCTGGGAAGCTGATTTCTCAGTGGATCGTAAAAAAGACACAGTGACGTCACAACGGTGCCCGCTGGGTGATCTGCTTGGGCCTGAGCACCGTGTTCAGCTGATTTATCAACAGCTCTCAATGACGGAAGCTAGACTCGGTGCTTAGTGTGTTGGAGAGAGAGAGAGAGAGAGAGAGAGAGAGAGAGAGAGAGAGAGAGAGAGAGAGAGAGAGAGAGAGAGAGAGAGAGAGAGAGAGTCTGAGAGAAAGAGAGAGAGGGAGAGAGTCTGAGAGAGAGAGTCTGAGAGAAAGAGAGAGAGGGAGGGAGTCTCAGAGAGAGAGAAAGAGAGAGAGAGAGAGAGAGAGAGAGAGAGAGAGAGAGAGAGAGAGAGAGAGAGAGAGAGAGAGAGAGCAGCATCGACCCAGTCAATCACCGCCACCGCCATGCGGCTGGCGGCGGGCGAGGGGGCCGCTAACGAGCACAAGGCCACTGGAAGATCGGTCTCACACCCACAAAAAAACACCGTCACTCGCCAACGAGCTGAGAAACATTAGCCTAACGAGGAGAGAGCTTGCAATGAGCAGCACAGAGATGTGGTTGACAGGCGCGACCTCGACAGTTTTCCGCCAGCGATATCCCCATTTCATTCCTAGGAAGTCCAGATTATTTCTGGACGACCTGGAATAACTTGAGTGCTTAACAAAGGCTATCGGGTGAATAGGGTCGCACAGCCCGAAATATTGTATGCATCCATTAATAATCAAAGAGCATTTCCTTTTGTTACCAACGCCTAACATGAATCCCACATTTCACCCCAAGCGCGCAAACACACCACGTAGCGCGCCACCCAGTCACATTCGGCGCTGGCGCGAGTTTCTGTCAGTCACGGACAGGTGAGAGGTCACGGAGGACGGCCCCGACCAGCCAGCGCCGACCCGGTGCTCACCCCCTGTACTGAACGTTCCAGGTGTTGGCAGCGCGTTGGCGCGCACGTCAAGCCCAGCACCGCTTGGGGAGGTGCTGGTGCCTCGCAGAGCGGCAAACCAAAGGTTTCATGTGGCCAGGGGCGGTGCCACCAATTGCTGGTAGGGGGACGAGATCACAAAACCAGCACAACACTTGAATAAAAGAAATTCGTGGGAAATCACGCGTTTTATAACCGGCGTTCGCGTGAATGAGCATTGCTATGCGAATTCCTCATGTGTCTTGAGCTGCAATCACAGCAAGGCATGGGGAGCGGGAACCAGGGATGGGAACAGGGCTCTGAGATCCACAAATTTCAAAAATTTAGCATTGACCCTTCAGGCGTTGATTGGAAAAAATAATCAAAATGGGTAACATCCGTTCGCCTTCCCAACGTGGACAGACGTGCGTTTTTCCGCCGGCGAATCTCGCAGCGTCGCAGCTTCTTCTCAACACTGCATATTACCTAAACCATTTGGTCATACAATGCATCGTTGTATGAGCGTGTTTATGTACAGTGGCGAAACTTTGGCAGGGTGATAGTTCATGCATTTTTACCGCGCAGATGCAGTGTGGTTTGGACGCCCGATTACAAAAGTTTTGCGTTTGCTTATAAAAAAAAAAATAACAGCAGAGAGTAAATCTGACCATTCATTCAGAAGGCAGGCGCTCTGACTGACTGAGCCATTGGAACGGACGGGCAATGAGAAGAAAGCGTATGCCATCTTGCACGGCCGTAGATTTCTGCGTTCTGAGGCTTCTGCAAAAACGCAACGGTGGAAGTGATGATAACACGTGATAGTCATTGACGGCGCGTACGAAAATAGCAGTCGTAACCGGAAAATAAAGATTATTGTATTGCAACATTTGCGTCACAATTCAATGCTGTTCTTCACTTTTCTTTAAGAAAAATGTTTAATACCCATAGACTGCAGGCACATGATAATCCAATCACCTCCCAAACCGGCTTTGAACTCAAGACACGGAAAATATTGAATGTGCTCGGAGCGTTATAAGGGAATATCGCTGAGCGGTCTTTTGGAGTCCTAGCACCATCGTACTAGTTAATTAAGGATATTACATTGTATCACGTGCACTACGGCTCAAGGTTAGTTTTCACTTTCCCATTTTAAAAAAATGGTATCCATAGACTGCAGCCAAATGACGACCTAATCACCTCCTAATCCGACTTGGAACTCCAGGCAAAGAAGACATTGAGTGTGCTTGTGCAGTATAGAAGGATAGGGCTGAACGGTCTTTTGGAGACCTGGAAACACCGCACTCGATTTGTAGCCATGTAATCCCACCGATTTGAGGTAACTGCATTATGGTAAAAATTGAAAATATGTACTCCTTTGTGGGAAGACCACATTTTGACCTGCGAGAAGGTCGCTAGAATAGGGGACTGTCAGCCCCTATCCGATGCCGGAGGGGAACGCGTTCCCACATCCTTCCACGATGGTGCCGCCTCTTATGTGGTACACTTCTTGCGAAATGTTGACGTGGACTCCCAGTCGCCCACTGACTTATTTAAACGCCAGGGAATTCGACGACAAAAAATACAAAATCTCAACATTACAACCTCAGGTTTTCTACCAAAATCTGAAAATGAGTGCGTAGGGTATTTTTAAGTCATAAGACAACTGTGTGATTCGTATACCTCTGAGTAACAGTCACCAAGTTAAAGCCTCGGCCATTATCGGGAGGTCATGATGCGATCCTTGGTTTGGTGGTTTATAACTTGTGGCTAGATGATCCAAATCTATTGAAATTACATATAAGAAAACTAACCACGATGTAGGGAAACCTTTGGCTATCTAAAATTGGTCATTTCTTAAATTGTTGAACCTATGACCCCAAATATATTACTGAACTATAACAACAATATTACTTAACCGTCAAAAAATTCGGCCGTATGCTCTTGTAATCACCACCTGAGTATTTACATACACCACGGAACTAGTTTATCACTTCATTATTTACATATGGTTGAGCTAAGCCTTACTCTCTGAACTATTTTTAACCCGAAAACAAGGTCACGTTGTGGGTAACGCAGAATTTATGCCAAACCTCGCCACCATTGTTACTACTGTATCTCTGCTGTACAAAACACACCATGGCGTACGTGCCATGGTGTGTCAACATGGCGCACATGCTGCCAAATAGATGCATGCCACCGGGGCTAGCAGAACCTGCGTTCTAATCAGAATTAATTTCGCAAATGACAGTGCAGCTCAATATGAAACTCACTCACTGTGTCAGTGAGGTTTCGGACTCAAGGACGCTAAAAACGTTCTTTAGACAAACGGATCCTGATCGCACAGAGTGCCTTTCAGTAACTGTCGGGCAAGCTCGTCAACCCGCTATCATTTATGTCTAGGTCTAGGCGCTCTGTGCAATCTCAAGTCACCGTCGATCTCTTTTGTGGAATCATCTAGTTCGCGTCTAGTTCCAAGATAGTTCAATGATAAGCATACATTATCAGTGATAATGCTATGCATCTAGCTCTGGTACGAGTAATGCGACCAGATCCGTGACGTCACCAAGCCCTCGGCGCCCGGGTTACATCCCCTGCCGCCCGGAGCGCCTCTCCAATCTGCGTCTATTTCTGAGCCACACGCGACGAAAGCGATCCGAGAGTTCCACGTGTTTGACGTCACCGGGTAGTGGAATGTCAATAAATGCAGGCTGCTTTCTGTCGGAGCAGAACCCACTGCTGACTATAATGAAATTAGGAATGAATATATCAAAGGAAAATGAAATAAAAAATACAATAAAAAATAAGGGTTGGGCAGAATGCGGTGGTCCTGGACCATTTAACCAATTCCAGCATTAACGGCCGTACACACACGCAAGGAATAGAACATCTCGGTTTAAACCACTTAATGTGGAGAGGTCCTTTGAACACGAATTTTTCTCAACAGACATATAGCCTGTTGTTAACAATTACAGTGCAAAAAACATCAAGTAGGTGAAAATTCAACCGAAGCGCAGTAATGGCTGCGTATTTTGCAAACGTGCGATCGTTTTATAATATCTTATCTTGGTCTGGACGGGGGGGGGGGGGGGGTCAGTTCCCACAT